CAGCGGCTGGGAAGTTTGAGGTAGTGTCCGAGAACCAGGTGATTGGCGCTCAACGCCTCAGGCCTGACCTCATTCTCAGAAAGGGCACCACCGCCTTGATCATTGATGCCACGGTACCCTTTGACAAAAGGATCAAGGCGTTTGAAGAAGCTGTAGCTGAGAAGAGGGCCAAGTATGAAGAGCTGAGGAATAGGGTGGAACGAAACAATTAAAAAAGAAAAAATTTTTTTTTGGTTTTTAATAGACATTTTTTTATGTATTTCAAGAGTATTAAAAAGTACAAAAACTTTGGAGGTCATGGGACAACTTTTTGAGGTGCCGTTATGTACTTATTTATTGTACGCATAAATACATAATATGAATTTATTTTATTTTTATTTTACATTATTGTTTACCATAATAGTAATAAAAATTATACAGTTACGTATCATTAAAATTTTACTTATTGTATAATTTTATAATTTAAACAATTCATATTCTTTTTTTGTATTAAATGATGGCATTATAGCCCACGACTCAATTCTAGCTCGTATAAATCCATCTCTAGCTGATTCACCACAAACCGCTGTAGATGCATCGGTTACTAACTTAACGGCTCTCTCAACAGATTGAGTATGACATGGAAATATATTGATGTACTCAGCAACTTGTCCAGACATAACAATCTGTAAGAAACAAAAAATTAAGTATTTAAATTTAATAAACAGCTTATTAAAATATATATATAACTCGATTCAAAACTTCATTTTCAATCATTTATAACATCGGTGGCTCAGTTATTTCACATTTGTTCCAGTCTACTAATTCAGTATAATCAGAATCATCGAAATTGAGTAAAGGTACTTTAAAGATACGAATTCCTGTTGCTTTGCTAAGTCTTGAATTAAAAATTGTTTGTTAGCAAGTTCTCTTATACACATTCGATCATCAACTAGCATACTTAAAAGAATATTTTCAGGTGCTCCAAAATATGCATTTCTTTGAATAACTTGATCAATAATTTTTTGGTATTTTTTTGGTAAGTATCTTGAAAACTGAATGGTTGGCCAGACATATTTTGAACCTAATGAACAAAATGATTTCATTTTTATGTGAAACCACATGAAGTGCATAAACTTTTAAAATAAATTCAGTTAAAGATATTAGGTTTTCTTCCGGTGTTTCAGTGCTAATGTATAACCGCAAAAGTCTATTTGCAGTAGTCAGCCACCTTGAATGTGCTTGTTTACCTGGATTTTTAAATCTATCGAACATTCACCATTTATTATGCTTACACAAATGTTGAATAAATATTTCAGGTCAGTACTTAAATCAATTGCAGTTTCTAAAAACGGCATATTACATTTAATAGGTTTAAATTTTCTAACAGGTAACTTATGACAATTCTCTAGTTGTTTTCCCAGTGTTCTAGAAAATCCACGCGGTCCTAAAGTTTTTCCATCTAGTTGTTGTAATAAATGACGCGAAGGTAGTTCGTTAGCGTGTAACTGACAAATAACCCATTGTAGTGGTTTATTTAGCTGCTCTTCTATTAGCCAATTACACCCCCTTTAGTACCAGTATTTACGACGGTCCCATCACAACCAATCACCAACAATTTTGAAGTACATAATATGTCGCTCGTTTTCAAATAACTTATAATACTGTTTTTAATACTTATAGCAGTTCCATTTACAGGAGTACAATGTCCCATAAATCGAGACCCTGGCTCTCCTATGAGTGCAGGGGCGGATTGGCCCACCGGGAATTCGGGAGTTTTCCCGATGGACTAGACGTCTGCCGTCTGGACTATGGCTAGTTATTTTAGCAATTAGCCATGGTCATCTTGGATAAAAAATAATGGAGACGGATATCTAGTGCATGGGCTGATAATTTATATTATTAGTGGTATTTGTGTATAACTGTTATCTCTTTTATTGTATGTTTATATACTATTATGTGTATAACATAATGTAATATGTTCGCGTCATATAAAGCACAGCGTTTATAACTTCATGCATATCACTATATATGTTACAGTTAAAACCCGAAATCCGTTGAAACTAGTTTTAACTAGTCAAAACTAGTTTCCACAAATCCCTTTAGTCATTTCTGGTCTTAACTAGTTAAAACTAGAATTCACCGCAGGTTCAAATAAGTCAGTAAAAACTAGTTTTAACTATAATGCATGACAATAATATTATATTGTATTTAAACTCGTACTACATAAAACTCACACGACCACAGACGATCTATAAATATTGCTCGATAATTATTTGACCGGTCGACTATCAAATCAATTAAGAAAACTTTAACGAAGTTAGAAGCTGAAGGACTACTTCGACAACTTAATAGACTAGAAACATCATTTATGACCGAGTTTTGGAATGATGTACTTCATACATTTAATAAAACTAGTAAACTATTACAGTCTGTTCAAATAGATTTGAGTACTGTAGTAGAATTATATAATTCATTAGTTGCTTATGTAAAATCTGTACGAGAAATGTTTCAAACCTATGAAGATGCAACAAAAGAAAAATTTATAGATTGTAATAAAATTCCGGAATTTGAAAATAAGCAAAGAAAACGAAAAAAAATTTGATGAATCCAATGATCCTGGTCATACATTTGATAGCCAAAACAATTTTAAAATTAATACATTTTATGTCATATGTGACAATTTAACAGTTGAACTCAACAAAAGAAAATCTGCTTATGACAGTATAATATCTAAATACAGCTTTATTTTAAAAATATATAAACTAGATCCTCCAGAAATCCGTGAAGATGCAAAAAAATTGAAAACTATCTACAAACAAGATCTAGATGAATCCTTTGAAAAGGAATGTGTTCATTTTCAAAGTGTATTAAAATTAACCACCAATTCTCTTAAAACCCTATTAGAAATGAGTAAATTTATAAAAGAAAAACAATTCGTAAATTCGTTACAATATTTCCTTATGTTGATGTAGCTTTAAGAATATTCCTTTGTAATTTAGCCTCCAACTGTTCAACCGAAAGGTCTTTTTCTACCCTCCGTAGAATAAAAAAATATTTAAGATCATCTATGTCTTCAGAAAGACTTAATAGTCTTGCAGTTCTTAAGTAATGATTTTATATAGTTTGTCGTGTCAAAATAAATAATATAATAAATTCCTATAATAATTATTCTAAAGTGTACTTATATTTCTACTTTTCCCTAGTTAAAACTAGTTTAACCTATCAATATAAAAATTAAGGATTTTAACTAGATAATTCTAGTTTTCACCAATATATTTTATATACAACTAGTTTTGATGGTGATGGTCTTAGTAAATTCTAGTTTTAACTAGTTAAAACCAGAAATGACTAAAGGGATTTGTGGAAACTAGTTTTGACTAGTTAAAACTAGTTTTGACGGATTTCGGGTTTTAACTGTAACATATATATATATATCGTTTATCATATTATCACCGCACCGCGCCGACCTTAATGGCATAATCTCGCTCGTTTCTCTACTCTACGCACAATTTGTTTGCTTTTTAAAATTCCTACAAATTATATTATGAGCCATTCAATTATTTATTTGTTTACAGTTAACAAATAAAGTAAATTAAGCATCTAGCAATTAAAGTAAACTTATTTATTTTAAGCAAAAATTATGTTCAATGACAATGAGAATACTTCATACATCAATTATTAATTTTTTAATATCCATGAAAACATGTTAATACCTATTGCAAAAGGTAAAAGAAGCAATATCCATTCGTTTAAAATTGTTTTTTCATAAATTCAAAATTGTCATTACATTATTTATAAATCAAAATATTATCAAATATTTTTAAGATAATTATTCTTTCAGATAACCTTTTATTGGAAATATAATATTATTATTATTTTTTATTCACCCCTCAAATAAAACAAAACATTTATTTAGACAATTCTGTAGAGGGTATAACATATTAGTTTTATAGGTATAGGTACATATTATTAATTTATTTTATCATATACAAGTTATTTTTACTTAGTTAATTGATGAAAATATATTTTGGTTGATTTTTTTTATGTTTAATTGACAGGCTAAATATGATATGCAAAATTGACACATTAATAATAACATTATTGAACTTGAATTTCGTTCAGCTTCGGCTAATTTGTCCACTGACTTCAACTATTTTAAAAAGCCAAAATCATTAGTATTAGGAGAATTTTTTGATTTTCATCCTAATCAGCCACATCTAACTCATCCATTTAAATCATCAAAAGCTTTTTTAGGCAAAAATAATATTCAGCGTCGTTGGCTAACATATGATGAATGTTCTAAAAAACTATTTTGCAGTGTGTGCTTAGCTTTTTCTTCTGAACAAAATATATTTACAGATGGTTTCAATACTTGGAGCCATATTTATCAGAGAATTCAAGAGCATGAAATCATTAAATCTCACAATTTATATTCGGAAGCTTTCTTAAATTTCTCAAGTAAAAATACTATTGATTATCGGCTGTTTAGTGAACATTTACACAAAAAAAAGATAGAAGTTACCAAAAACCGAAATATTCTACAAAGATTTATAGATGTTGTAAAATTAATTGGTAAAAGAGGCTTGAGTTATGGAGGTCATAGAAATGAAGGAGCAGATACTTTAAATGATCCTTCTCTCGACCAAGGTAATTTCCTGGAAATTTTATTACTTTTGAAAAAGTATGACGTTGTTCTTAGTGAGCATATTGATTCTATAATTAAAAGTGCCAGTGGAAATCAAAAAAGAGGAAAAGGCAAAGGTAGAGGCGCATCTCTGACATTTAATTCTAAAAGGACTGTGAACATGGTTATAGATTCTATATCATATTTTATGAAAAAAACAATATCGGAAATTAGAGATGCTGTTATGTTCTCTGTCTAGTTGGACACCACACAAGATATATCTTTTCAAGATCAATGTTCTATTATTTTAACATATGTGAACTATAAAGGTATACATGAAAAATTATTGGCTGTAATAACTGTACAAAAATCTACTGGCAAAAGTTTTAGCGATATGCTTCAAGGTGTTTTAGCTGAAAATGGTCTTGATATTATGAAATGTGTCGGCAATGCAACAGATGGCGCAGCAAACATGCAAGGCAAATTTAATGGTTTTTCTGCTTGGCTTGAGAAGTCAACACCAAATCAAGTTCACGTTTGGTGCTATGCACATATTTTGAATTTAGTGATCATTGATTATACCAAATCACCTCTGAAAGCAGCCTCATTTTTTGTCACTCTTAATGATCTTGCTAATTTTTTCAAAGAGTCGTATAAAAGGATGAACGTTTGGGCGAATACTGTTGGTGAAAATAATAAAAAACGTTTACAATCTATAGGTAACACACGGTGGTGGTCAAAAGAACTGGCGTTAAAACATTTATTTGGATCTGATGGTATGTATATTGATGTGATATTGGCCTTAAATGCTATACATATTTCAAATGGATTCACTCCAGAAGCTAGGTTAAAGCCTACAACTTTAAAAAATTCAATCTTAGAATACTCAACAATATTAACCGCTTTTATTTACATAAGAATTTTTAATATTGTTGGCCCTTTGTCTAAATATTTACAAACCAAGGGTATGAATTTATTAAAATGTCAAGAGATGGTTTTCACAGCTATTCAAAATCTAAAGTCTATTCAAAGAGATATGGATGGAGTTAAAGTGATGGCAAAAAAATGTATTGACACCATGTTAGAAAAATTAGAATTGATAGAAACCGAAGACATAGACATAGTAATTGAAACTGAGTTGCCTATAATCAGATCCAGAAAACGAAAAATATTGTCTGGTGAAAAAAATAAAATTATCAATTACAGATCCTGAAATAAAGTTTACTGTGGAAGTCCATAATTTGATCTTGGACAATACTAGTGCTAGCATGGAAAATTTTTTTTCAAAAAATCAAATTTTATATACTGATTTTGCATATTTGTCGCCTGTTAATTTTGAAGATATAAATAAAAAGGATTTGCTATCCAATGCTATCCAATGCTAAATAGAGCTAACCAACAAAATAAAACAATTTGATGAAACAATTACAAGGGATAGCTTACAAAGTGAATTACTTAGTTTTTCTAGTAACTGGAATGAACTAAAAAAATCAGTTCCCGAATCATATGAAATTGATACCTATGATGAAATTCAAGATGAAGAAGATTTTGGAAACAAAACTATGTATAAATCACATTGCACATCATGCATGAATTGATCTATTTGTTGTTACCTTGTACTTCAAAAATACAATTTATACAGCAATGCTTATAGTAATTTAACTATTGCTTATCAATATCTTCTGACATTGCCATGCACACAGGTAATAATTATAAAACATTCATTTAGAAATTCATTCGGACCATAAAATATAATATTTATGTTTTTAAAAAAATAAACAAAATAAAACTGTATTACCTACTTACTAGCATAGATAGTTTTATTTTTTGTGAAAAAAAATTGTTCTTAATAGCATTTAAGTGTATAGTAATTAAAAAAACAATTGATTTTAAAATATAGATTAAGAAGAATTGTAGATAGGATTTTGTACTTTTAGAAATATCTAAGGATACAATTGGAATTGGGACTGGAATTCAAGGGAAAGAGAGTCAAATATAAAAACATTTTACCACAATTTATAGGTTTATGTGTATAATTTTATATACTTATAGTATATTGGTTATTTTATGAAAGTAAACACATTTTTGTGATTTAAACCTAAAAATTGCATGGACTTGACCGTAACTCAACATTGTTGACAATGACCGTGAGCCGGTCTATTTACCGTTTTCCCAATCCGCTCCTGTATGAGTGTAATGTATTCTTCTGTTATTTTATTACGATAATATTTGTTATCTATTTTTTGATTTATAATAGTGTGGTCTTTACGTCCATCAAAATATAGACTTTTTGGTTGCTTATCAGTTTGTATTTTAAGATCTTGACGTTTCTTATGCCTCTCTCTTCTTATTTTCATTCCGTCAATCACATGTTGTTTATCATCAGTTTTAATTATTCCAACATCTTGTAGTATTGCACTAGCAATAGTAGCAGCAGTTCTATCAGATATTCCTGTTCTATCACACGCTAATGCTAGAGCGGTAACTCGAGTCTCATTTGTGACTGTTTATTAGTACTATACGTTGAAGTCAATGAGGACATTGAATTTGGTGAATAATTGGAATCTTCGTCAGTGTCAGTATAATATGTTTCATCCGTTTCTATTGTTTCCAAAGTATTATTTACACACAACTCTTTTTTATTTTGTTTGTCAATTCGATTTGCTTCTATTTCTTTTCTGTGCATGTTTTTATTAAGTTTTTTGGTTGTTAAAACATCAATCGATGACATGGCCATTTTTCTCATTGATCTTTGGTCTTTGAGAAACATTTGTTCGATAATGGGAACTTTACGAGATTTTTCACAAGAGCAAAGATAGAATTCAATACATTTTCACGCTGCTAAATCAAAAAGTTTGTCTTTTGCATTATTCTGAAATTTTTCTAGATTTGATCTAAAAGTTAATGTATTTTTCCTGTTTTTCCTGTTTTTAATAGATTTAATTATTTGTTTGTACTTATCACGATAATTTATTAACAATTGTAGTGCACGAATGTGCGGTACTATTGGAATAGAGGCTTTTTGCCATATTTTTTCTACATCTGTCACTACTATTTCAGAAATTATTTTAACAGTTGGATCTCTTCCATTACTATTTTGTTTTTATTGGTTTCTTACTTGTAAATAGAACTTCATTACATCTGCATAGGTAGGTAAAACTAAATTACTAAGAACACGAGTGTCACCAAAAATTGGACATTTTAACTTAATTCTGGTACAAATAGCCATTTCAGAAATGGATTGAAAATTAAACGCTTTAATAACTTTATATTAGCACTATAGAACGTCGTTTACGTCCACACTCGATGATAAATAGTGCGATACTAATCGTAAGTCAAATGATAATAATGCTGATTGCCTTATTTAAACTATTAATTATGGTCAAAATAAATTTGGTGATATCGAAAATTAATAAAAATGATGATACTTTGGTTTTTCGTTACCTATTTCTATATATAGATTTTAAATGCTCGGCGGCACCTCAAAATAACACTCTATGTTGGCAATTTTTAATTTATTTCTTACATTAAACAGTTTAGTTTGTAGTTTGCATACCATTGATGATTTACAATTTATTTATTTTTTTTAAATTTCTATCACATTTCTCATTTTTCTTTTAGTTGGTGTTTCAACAATAATTTTATTAGGATTATCATTACTTGAGAAACTTATAGGCTGAGAATTTTGGCACTTTTTTGGAGTTGTCATATTTATAATTTCCTGTATAAATAATCTTGAGGAAAGTGATACATTATTCGTTGCCGAAGTTTTATTATGGGCATTTTTTGAAGTTCGAAGGGTAATCTCTTCCTCTAAAGTGTTATTTGAATTTGTTTGAGAAAAATAAATTGTTGGTGTTTCTGGTGCTGTATTTAAATATGTGTGTCGGTTTTAAAACATTTAAATCTATTTCATCATCAGTGTCTAGAGTATTTTCTAATAAAGGATCTGTTCGTGATGGTGTTGATGATGTGGATTGATGCAGTTTATAAGAAGAGTTGTCAATATTATATTTTT